CAGAGCCTGAAAGAAATTGAAGCACAAAGCTAAGTACACCTAATTTTTACAATTACCTGCCTTTAAAAGAGAGACAGTTGTTGAAGAGGATAACTAATACAATATTGGTAATGATAGTGGTAACACTAACGATTTTTTTTTAATTTTAATTAAAAATACTTAACACAATCTTTATATCATTATAATCACTAAAAGTACTTACAAAATTATGATAAAATGCTAAAAATAAAAAAAAATATATGTCAAAATGTCTAGTAAAAATCCAAGAAAAGCTCATGAACACACACTTTGTTTAATAACAATTCAAGATTCTTTACAAAAAAAATATTCCATAAAACACTAATGATGTTGATGTTGATCAAGAAAATAATCACAAAAGTAGTATTAATAAGGATAATGATGATGATAGTGATATTTGAAGGATAGCGATATTTTTGTAATGATAATAGCAATTATGACAATAAAAAATAGCAGTAAGGATGATAACAAAAAAAAGGTTAATGGCGATGATAAAGATAGTGATATTATAAGATAACAATAATGACAATGAAAATGACATGACATAAGCTGGCCTAAAATATTGCTTGAAACAAATTGAAATTATTTACCAAAATTTCAGCCAGTGAGGCATTTTCAAAATCATTTTTCTTCAACATGTCAGTTTTTCCACTTGTCCAAGCTTCATGAATATTGCATTTGTGTTTGAACTTTTGGGCTAAGTGATCGAGTCGTTCCATCCTTTTCAAAACAAAATATATCAAATTATTATTGTTTCAATATCAATTGAAATGTCTACCTTATATAAAAGGAAGTGGCTGGAAACATTGCCAATATAAGGACTGGACACTAACTTTTCAACTTACTAGCTAAGTGGCGTGTGACAATATTGATGTTACGACAATTTCCGTTTGTTTACTGGCCCAACTGGCTAGCCGAAATTGAAAACCAATAACCAAAACTGAATTTCTACTACAGTCTGTGGCTAGTTGGCTACTGATAGTGTCAAGCCCTGAATACAATAAAGCAGGTGTTGGTGGCAAATAACATTAAACTAAAACATACACAACCATAACAAAAGATCATCAAATATATGTTTCTGCTAGAACCTAAACATGTGAAGTTATTTTCTCCCTTTAGAGATTTTTCACATGCTACTATTAGTGATACCATTTTTTCTAGATGTGATTACCTAGCCCCTATAAAATAGTTTCTACAAAACCCTATTACCTTCTCATTTCCTTCAACAACCAGTCTTCAAAATCTTTCTCAGAACCTTCCAAGTCTCCCCATGCACGATTGATGTCCTGTATGTGTATAACAGGAATCAAATTTACCATTTTGTTTTCTGCTAAGACTTTGTGTGTATTATTATAGTAATTATTGGTCTGTCTTATTCCTAGTCACTTGTTCTTGACTGTTAGGGGCTCACTAAAATTTGGGGAAACATGAATTAAATATTTGGAAGTGGTGATATTTTCTTGGCCCCAAAAATTACAATGCATTTCATCTGATAAAGTTGCACATGAGTTAGTCTGAGTTGAATTCATTTCTAATCCTCTACACCTCAACGTCAGTATGTCACGTATGTATTTTGAACGAGCTCTACAAGCTCCTTAACGCTATGTGGGTAAGTAAAGTATTGATTGATTTATTATGTCAATTCTTAATAAACTTCCCTGTACATTTCCCTTAGTATTGACAAGGATAATCTACTTAAAAACCAAGAGCACCCTTAATTGGTGATCATTTACTTGATTCCCATGACCTAATAATGTTTGATTGACCAGTAACAGGGTAAGGAGAAATTAGATGCTAGTTAAGGTAACTTACACTGATCATTTTCCCTTCTGTTGGGAGGTATGCAGGTCGATTTCCAAGGCGAAGTTTGGTCTGCAATGTGTTGAAATTTGTCTCCAGCATCCCTTTTTCTTCTACTCTAGGAGGTTTTTCACTTCTTCGGTACACACGAAGAGCATCAAGCTTTTTCTAGAAATAGTATTTAAATCTGATGACTGAGAAATTTATCCATAAGATTATTCCTCTTCCAATGTGTCGACCATTTTCAAAATAACAGGTTATCAAAGGAAATGAACTGGAAAAATTGAAATCTTTCCTAAATACCTGCATATCACTCAGTGTGCCATCACTTGATCTGTCATTAAGCCAGGGTAGGGTCTTATTGATCCAATCAAGAAGCTGAAAATTAGAAATAAGATCAGTTACATTCAAAGTTGAGGTATAATTGGCTAACCCAACACTCCTTTAAGACCACAATACATAATTGCAAATCTCAAAATTTGCATCTTCTTTTGAGAAAACCACTCCCTTTAAAAGGCACCCTTCCTCATTTCCAAGATTTAAACGAGCACCCCACCTCCTACCCCACCTCAAAATAGTGTTTCTCCCATGTGTGCACTAGCACATTGCAGTAACCGAGAATGATCATGAAGGGATAAAAAAAATTTTAAATATATACAAGCTGTGAAATAATAGTTAAAACCAACAAATATGTTGGCATGTAAACAAACTCTGGAATACATACATCACTGGCAACTTTTTCATAGTCCTCCATCATCTTCTCATTATCTCTGTTGATGTTGAGAACCTTACCAATACGCTTGGCTGCTGTGTCAGCCTGTGTATCACAAGGAAAAAAAAAACATGGCAGTGACAATTTTAAACAAAATGAAATGAATTGTTGTCAGCCTTGTACAACTGAGCACATACATATTCTTGATACTGTTCTGTATACATCTCCATGGTACTTAGAAGAATTTGTCTAAAAATAAAGAGCCTCTTCAGTTGGCAAACATTCCCCGTATTCTCGTTACCTTACTGTTTGATTCAGTGGTGTTCATGTAAAGAGAATTTAAATAATGGTTCCTTTAATTTTAGGGGTGAAAGGATTAAGGAAGTTTGACACTGAAATAAAGTTATTATTATTATTACTATTATTATTATTAGAGACCCAAAGGTTGATGCCCTTGACCTCAAAGCAAAAGAACTGGGTACAAATCATGGCCTAGTCATTATGTAGTGTCCTTATGCTGGAGTGTAAATAAGTGCCAGCAAACTGTCAGAGAGACCTGACTAAAGGCTGGACCACCATCCAGTCTAAATGGAGTAACAATACTCCTCTTTCATTTAATGTGCAGTAGTGAAACCATGGTTTGTTCAGACTCAGCTCTTTAGGAGTTAGGATAATTTATTTATTTAATGTCAGGATAATTTATCAAAACAAAATACACAGAGGGTGGCCTCCTAATCCCCCAAGCCAGAGGCTCATGATAAAAGTGTTTGACAATATAAAAGAAAGTTAAAATTGTAATAGCACCGATTAAATTAGAAATAATGTATATCTAAAAAAAAAAAAACCATGAATCAAAGGCAACCACTGCATTGACAGCCGATAAAATTTAACTTAATTAAAAGTCTCTGGAGGGATGATGCATTAGATGACCTCAAACTACAAAGTATGGGATATTTCTTCAGGCCCTCAAAGTTTCTCAGAACTGGCCATGCACGGAAAGCCAGACAGATAAGTTTCACAGTAAACATACCTATTTGCAAGAATTTTTCCCTAGTTCTTAAAAAATTCATTTATTATAGTGGAATAATACAAAATAGGAATTGACTAATCTGGAGAAAAATTTCCCACTGATGATAAACTTCTCTTCATGAATGAACCTGTCTAGTCGGCACCTTGTGACTAGTGGTAACACTCTCAGTTGCACAGATACCTTTTGTGAGCTGGTAAAGGCATGGTAGTAGGATGAGACATAAGTCATCACAGCTCTTTCATCAGGCTTTACAGTGTTCACCATGTCTATTAAAAGGAAAGAATCGTAGAAAATATAACTACATTGTTCATTATTTGAACTTTGGTATTACTAAGGACTCTGATGAAAACATATCAACAGCAGTCTAAATCCCACAGGGATCAATGAACGCTTTTCACTCCACTAATTTATTCATGTTTTTTCTCGTTGCCATGTTCCCACCAATAACGTAGCTCTATTTTCTGCCTTTAAAAGCACACACAACCCACAATTCCTCTATTCACTCCGACGAAGGGCTAATGCTCGAAACGTCAGCTTTTGTAATCGTTACAGTGGCCAATTTACCATTTCAACTTTGTTGATATATCCAAATTATTTTGTTACTCCCACCGACGCAGCCCCAAACAGTTTCTTTCAAAACTATCATATCAGCCTTTATTCATTTGAAAACATATCATACTCACAAGTGTAGAAGGTTATTAACTTACCTTCAGCGTCAAGCATTTTGGGAATGTCCAGATGTTTCTCAGCAACATCAAAGGCATAATTCAAGTTTTCCAAAGGGGTCTCCTGCAGATAAAAATATAAAAGTGGTCATGTATCTCCATAGTACCAGAAAAGCAGGTTAGGTCTTAACTGCCACAACAGTGAATCAAGTTACTTCTTGCTAAAGAGTGTTCTGTTGCATCAGCAGTTAAGGAAAAGAGTTAATACAACTAGGATGAATTTGATAAAGATTGACTGACCACCACATCAAATTTAGGAAATCTAAATTTTCAAAATTGACTTTTCTTTCATGCTAAGAGCTTCTACAGAGCAAACTTCTAGGAACTTTATCCACCAGGACCCATTTGTATAAAGGTACAAAATGTTATCCAACAGTGTAAGTCGCTATCTGGCGGATAAGGGATAACAAAGACTACTACACTATCCACCAGATAAAGATTTATCTCCTGAACAGCACTATCCAACCTTCAAACAACCAGGGTCACAATGATGCAGCTTTGTTTCACTGACAAGGACAGATCTGTAAAAGTATCTCTATTCAGTTTGAAAATCATGTATTTTGGGTACCCTTTCTTTAAATAGAATAGCTTTTGGTCAAGATGGTAAAAGTATATGGAAAACTAACATCACTACTGATTAGTTTGTAAAAATTTGTACAAATAAGAAAGATATGGTCAAAGTTAAAACTGAATTATAATGATGGACAGGTGGTACAAGAATAAAATTTGTCAAAAGGGGTAAAATTTTAAAATAATCCATGACTTTGGTATTAGTTTATTAGAACAATGATTTCACAGGAACTAGTGCAGCTTTCCTAATTACAAGAAGGACAAAATATCATTCGCAAAGCTTGAGGTATTTAGTTTGTTGTTTGTCAACCATCATGCCTCCAGAGAATTGTTAATTTTCAGAGTTTCAATCATACACAGACTTGAAACATTAACATCTTAACAGAATATCACTGCATAAATATTGCCCTTTAGTGCATGAATAATGAAACCGAATTGTCGTCAAATTTTAAAGATACTCCAATAAAATTTCTAGAATGTGGTCAGACATATTTATAAACTAGCTCCGTAGCCTCCTGTGTAGTTCAATTATGTTTTTCAAAATAGCAATTAGTATTGCAGGCTTTAAAAATAACTCTGAGCTATTGAACCATATAAATATGAAAAATAGTGCATATCATTTTCACAATAATGACGGTCTTTTCCTTTAATGGCAATATGTTTTAAGACAGGAAACAGAGGTAGTTAACGAGCAGGTTCCGCATGCATGCATAAAGGAACAACATTAAATAAACCTCATAAATTTCACTCATATTGGCAATAGATAAAAATCAAAATCGTTTGTTAGTTCTCCTCTTTAAAGCTAATATCACGAAGGTACACTGGATCACGCATGACATTCAAATGACATTCAAATTATCCAATATACGACACACCCTGCGGTTTTCGCGTTGCCTCGTCTTTCCGCACGGTACAAAGCACCTAACGCAGTGTCCGGTTAGAGACAACATCTTACCTTGCTTAGGGAGTTATAGTCGATAAGGTCCGGCCGATGACGATGAATAAGAGCACAAAAAGCCAAGCCATCTTTAAAACTACAAGGAAATCCAGTGTTCAAATTAATACTATTTTTGTCCGAAGAATCGCTCACCGCAAAAATCAGATAACATATGCACACATGCAAATAGATAAACACAAATACCTCATGCGTACGATTGCAACTATCGCTACGAAATAATACGAAGAATCTACCTTGTGTGAAAGTTTTGCACGTTGACATTTTTATATGGAGCAGTTTTACGCTGACACCAAAGCAGCAGGCCGTCCTTCGCAGACAATTCTATCGATAATAAGGCAGGAAAGCGACAATTATGTTAGAAACTTGAACAAGCTAGTACTAATCAACAGCGGATATTCGTCAAACTTCACCTTCTACTGCTATGTCTTGGATCGCAAACCGAAGAATTATGGTCCAGATCATTCCTAGAATCATCTTTAAGTTACCATCCACAATTTCTGAAAAAAAAAAAATGGTGCACATAGGTTGAACGAGTCCATGCTTGCTTCCGTAGAGAACAACACCCCCATAACACTACTGCTAACCTCTAACATACCTTCAGCTCCAATCGACACAAGTTTTACTCCTTTGCTGGCCACAAAGTCTAGAGCTTTATTAACGTTGGAAATTTTATGAAATCGCAGCCGTCCTTTCTCGGGTTTAGGAAGTCTTTCGCCTGATATTACTTCCAGCAAAGCCATGAGTTTCAAGCCGTCGCTAAAGTCTGTGGTAATTTCGTCAATCTGGACGTTAATTTTTCGCAGATGAGAGTTACACCAGGCTGTAAACGTCTGCGTACAAAATAAAAGAAATAAATGGATCTTGGGACACTTGAGATGTTTAGAATTAGAATAGTTTCCGTAAAGATGAAAACAAGTAAATCATGCAATCGCTGTAAATTTGAAATCATGTCACGGTACTGCAGCTTATGGCTGTTAACGTACCTTTTTTTGTTGTCTCTCCCATGCAGGATCAAGCAACCCTCTATCTTCTTCATTGTCATAGTAGTAGCCATAAATTTCTGGTTCATCAGCCGCCATCGCGAACCAACAAAGTTGGTACTTGAATAGTGGTGTCTTACTTGAAATTCGAAGCTCTAAAGTTCGATCCTTTCTCTCGAATCGAATAAGCACAAAAGCTTTCATTCCCAGCCCCAAGTTGATTACTCCCGGTCAGCCTCGTAATGGAGTACACGTAAAGATTGGCGCCAAATTTCAGAAGAAACCAACATGGTAACTGATGTGGAAATTGAGCGAGAATTTGAGGAGTTTTCTGTCTCCATAGATAATCTGTCTGTTCTAGATAAATGTAGGTAATTGGCATGGAATAACGATAACCTTTTCCATCCATGAGGTGGATTTTCTTATCGATAATATTCTGAAATATTGTCTTTCCTTTGCGCATATTAGTGAAGGAACTTTGCGTCTTGTATCATTTGAGTGCCTCCGAGTTAGTTGAGGAATGGATCGCCTATGTGACATCTATTTCATCAAGTCATGAACCTGATCTCTCATCTCTGGAAAATTTTGAAAGAAAGGTAAGGACCTATTTGGTTTGTAACGTTGATGATTGTTGTCGCAGTAGTTAGTAATAGAAAGGGCTTGGAGTACATTTTTTTGCCTTTAATGTGCACGATTTTTCAAAGATTGGAAAATATTGTGATCTGAAAAATCTTGAAAGCATAGATTTGCTCCAAATTGCAAGGAAATTAATTTGATAACTTGGTTATAAATAAATTTGTAATTTTAGCACTCTGTTCTCAGTTTCAAATTTATGCACAGTTTGGGATTAACCTCATAACACTAAGATCAGTAACCAGAATCTAGTTTTCTCTACTGTAAAATGGCTGAATCATTCATTTAAATCACAAGGAAATATAAATATGGAATAAATAGAATTATTACATGACTCGGGCAGTCAGAGGGCCAATAACTAAAATCAACCAATCAAAATGCTCTATTGCCGGTCCAATATTCTCTAAGTATTGGACCGGGCACTGTCCTGAATTGTCCCGAATGATACCGCACTTGTGTCCCTTTGAACTTCAGTCGTCTAATAAATCTCTTATTAACCAAAGCTTGCTCGGGAACATACTGGAAGAATATCGGCCCTCGGTCCATACTGTCAAGACCTTGGGCCGATATTCTCCCAGTACGGCCCTCCCACTTGGTTAATAAGAGATATTTATTGAAGGGAATGATTGCCAACCTAAGAAGCTTTGATTGTTTAAGGAATTCTCCTTTTCAGAACTAAAAGAAATGTATAGAGGAAAGTATGGAGAAAATGAATACTGATCTTAGGATGTTGAGGGTAAATTGACATTCTCTAGGCTAGTAATCCGTCTTAAATTTTTAAGATGTTTATAATGAAAGGAGAAGTACATTAAGGAATTACAAATTTGAAATTCCAAGCACAGTTGCTGACCAATCAGGTTCAATGCCAGCTATTGATGCAGCTACTGGATGTGTGAAGAATTTCAGGTTTGCAAGGTCCTTGAGTCTTAAGCATGTAAGGTTCAGTTTCTAAGGATCCGTTTCATTCAACAAGATAAGCTATCACTAGTTTTCTTCCTGTTTCACTTAAATATGAAATAAGGTTTACTTGAATCTGTTCTTTCAAATGCAGTTTAAAGTCAAGAAACCACAGAAGCAGTTGAACATCAAAGTGGAAGAGACCAGGCCCTCACTGTATAACAAGAACAATATAGATGACCTGTATCTTTTATTTTTGCCACAGTATTTTGATCATCGTTGAGGTTGTAGCTATTTAGTACATAACCTGATAATTGAAGTTGTTATATGATAATTCTCCAGTACTCTTATCATGTGGCATACTTTATCCATCATTCACATTCCTAAGTGATGACTTCATTAGCCGCAGGGTCCCATGCTGTTTTCCAGCTGGTTGTTGATTGACACTTCACTGTAGTTGTTGCAGTTGTTGTTGCTTTCCCTCCCACTCTGGGGGCTTCTCTTGAGTTCCTAGGGTCTCTTGGTTTGTTCACTAAAGATGCACAAGAAGACTTACTGCTTGGTTTTCTTGTTGTTGAGGTGCATGGGGGGACACCAGGAGGATGATTTAGTTAAAAACTCCATTGAAATTTTTGAACAAGTAAGATTTTTCTCTGACATATGTTTTACATGGTTATTTGTAAGTCTTGTATACCAAGTGTTTTTAGAGCATCCAGATTTTGACAGTATTCCTTTATTCATACGAAACAAATGTTGTAGTAGACCTTGACTAGCATATGTAGTATAAATGACGAGGGTGAAGATTTGTATGAATGCTATCAAACCCCTGGATATAAGGTAATTTGCTCAGTTTTGGGAAGAAGAACAGGTTTTCCCCATGAATGAGACTAACTTGCATGGCTGCTTAAATTTGTCTGGTTTTAGCTCAGTTTTTACTATTCTTGGTCACCACTACAAGTAAAAAAATTTTGGCAAGTAACCATGAGCAAAAGTTATTAATTTGTCTACCTGCGTTGGAAAGTCATTTAACAAGCTGGAACATACTTATTACATAGTGCTTATGGTCGAAAGTCAGATTAAAATAACTTTTTGTTTTTTTGTTTGTTTGCTATTTTGTTTTCCTGGTTAATGAAACTTTCATTTTAGCCAAGTGTTGTATGATTTTAGGAAGCCAAATGCTGGGTAGTGGTTCTGAAATATAGTTGAACTAGCAGACCCAGGAGCTCCTAGACCTTAGAACAACTTGAAGTATTGCTGTTCCTCTTTGGAAGGACATCAGTTTACCCCTGGTATTTCAGCAGTTTTCGTAGACAGTTCTCTGACCAACAATTAGACTCAACCTACCCCTGTTTACTTACTGCAAACACTTTTGGATTAAATGATTTGATTTCAGGCATCCATCAAAAGGCCTCATACAACTCCTGAAGCAATTAACAAAAGACATACATCTATTGGCTGGAGTCCTGGGACAACTCCTTTATCACCAGCTCATTTTTCTCCTGCCAGGTAACTATTAACATGAGGTAGTCATTGGAGTTAACATTGTCCACCATTATATTTGTGTTGTGTCAATCAATGAAGACTTTGAATCAGCACAGAGGTACACATACATTGTGATAAAAAATTTTAGTTAAAACTTGGATTTTTTTGTTTTGGTGTCCTGTTCAGGGACTTATAATTTTTGTTATTGTTATTATTGCATAATTTTAATAACATCAGAAAATTTGAAATTCATATCTGCAAATTAAATAGTTATTCTCTTTTTCATATTAAACATTTGTAACTTACAGTAATTTTTGCTGCTTGGAGATATTTCACTGATAAAGCACTCTGAATAATTTCTCTCAAAGTAACTTGAGGTGATTTAGCTGCGATAGGATTACTTTCCTTCTCATATATGTTGCCCACTTTTTCAAAAAAAGCAATATTTTGTATTATCATTTTTAGTGCCACACCTAGTGTCAAGTATGGTTCCCGTAGCAATGCAGGAGAAGTTGTGTGCTCCTTTAATCCCAGTGGAGCTGATCCACAACAAATCCTTCAGGGGCATTTACTATCATCACATCTTACCGTGCATTGTGCAGATCAGAAAGAAGCTTTTGATGACTTCAAATACATGTTTCAAAAGCAGGCCGATAAGGGTGCTGGTATGTCTTTTTGTGGTGACTTCTGAGATTTCAGTAGGACTAAGTCTAGTAAAATAGATCTTAAGTAAGCTTTGGAAGATGCAGAAATAGTTTGAATACAAATTTCTCACTATGTATTCACTATTTTTATTGTCATTATTTTTATTTTATGTGGTAGTTGTGAAATTAACCTTTATTTTCTTTGTAGTACTCAGTGACCTCATAGATGACATGGCAGAAAAATTACAGGAAAGTTTAGGCATTGAGGAATTTTCAAGTCTTTGTATTCCAACTCAGGTATTTCATAGACCTACACAGTCACCTTTCAGTATATGATAAAACTGATCACAGCACAAGGGTTAGCTGTTATTTGTAAACTTTTTTCTTTCTGAGATGTGTGTTCAAAAGTGTACTATTCCTTAACAAAAAAAAAAACATTTTCTGAAACTCTTTTTTTTTCATTTTTAATTTAGGAAGAGGTTTCTGTCATTGGTCGTGTGTGCTGTGATTCAAATGGCAAATTGAATGCGCAGTCAGTAATACTTGAAGGTTCTCAGGAAATTTCATCAGGACAACGAATTAAGTTGGACCTCTCTGAATTGCGACAGTTTACAGTTTTTCCAGGCCAGGTAATGTGTCTTTAATCCTAACAGTTCATATAAGAACTACCTCAATTGTAAGACAAACTATTGTTAAACATTGTTATTGTTATTAGTATTATTTTTACTGTATTTATTACCATCTTATTTCAGGTCATTGCTGTTCAGGGATTAAATAGCACTGGGCAAAAATTAGTTGTCAACAAAATTTGTACAGTGAGTCAATGAAATTCCTACTTAAAATAATGTAATGTTTTAAATCATTATAATAGCCGAGGATCCACCCTTAGGATGAAGACAAGTAACCCTTAAGGTGACAGATATGACAGGAGTTCTGGCGGCCACCTCCTTGCTTTAATGTGGTCAATTGGAAGTTACCTGTTCTTTATTTCTTAAAGATTTGACTCTGAAAAAAATCAATTTGCTTCTTTTCTGAAGCATAGAAATCATAGAATTCAGTTCAAATATGAACTAAACAGTTGTAAACCAGTGTTATTGTAAGTTCTTCTTTCCCTTTAGGGAGTTCAGCTTCCTTTCCGTCCATCACTGGACAATGTTGAACCAGCTTCTGAAGACATGTCCTCAGGTAATTCTTACACTCAGTTACTGATTTGTGTAAGAGTACCTACAGGTTATAAGATTTAGTTTGCTGCTCAAGAACTTTATTTAACCCTTTGATATATATTTGCATTTTCCTAACTCACCATATTTATGTATATTTATATACATTATCCAGAAAAAAGGTAATGAGAGCACTCAAACTTATTGTGCAGAGTTTTGACCTTGATCTAACACCAAACTCCAGTAACTGACAAGGAAAGGTGTTAAAGCTAGAGGGAAGAATTGACAATCAGATCTCTGGAGTTAAAGGGTTCAAATTTATTACAGAGAGCCTTGCACTGTTTGTTTGTTTGTTTACTACTTGCACTTTTTACAACAAGCCACCTGCATACAGTGATTATTGATTTTTTTTTTTTGGCAGAACCTTTTCTGATGTCAGTAGCTGCAGGCCCCTTCACAACCTCAGACAGTCTCCTTTATGAACCCCTTGCTGATCTTATGAGAACGGTTCAAAACGACAACCCAGATCTTCTTATTTTGGTAAAAATATTTAAAACATATTACCAAATTGATTCCCTTTTCAGAAGGATCTTTGAACAACGCTTTTAAGAATTACTAGTTTTTTAGTAATTGCTCTTTCTAATTTTTTTCTCTGTAGCTTGGACCATTTGTTGATAGCAAACATGAACAGATTATTGTAAGTAAACTTTAACACTTCATCTTTTCATTGTGCACTAAACTCTTCAAATAAATATAGTTTTTTTGTGGTTAATGGTAATTTAAACTCATTGTAATTTGAAATTTGGTTTTGGTACTAAACTATAGATTAGCTTCCAAGTTCCCATTTTGGGTGATTCAACAACTCTTCCTAATATAAGGGAATTCTGTAATTTGTAGAATGGTGATTTAGAGGAACCATATGAAGACATCTTTGATAGACAAGTCCAGCAGATAATCAAAGCTACTGAAAAGTAAGTAATCAATTGTTTTTTTGTTTTATTCTTTTTTTTCTCTCTGGATGTCATCAGGAAACTTACTACCATAACAGTGAAGTAATTTTCAATGAAGCTATAACTAGATCATTCTGATCAAACTATTTGCTGTGTCAACAATTCTTCCTACAAGTTTTCAAATGAGTTTCAAAAATAATCCTTTTAAACAACAGTGTGAATTTTATTTTTCAGCCTTTCCACAGTAGTTGTCTTTGTGCCATCATATCGAGACATTCACCACCACTTTGTTTATCCCCAACCACCCTTCAGTACCAAACTTGACATCTCGGAATCCAATACAACAGAGGTATACACCTACACACTAGTTATATTTGTCCGTGTAACTTAATGCTTTAACCTGTTAGAGTGACTAGCATGGAACTTCTCCTTACAGTACTGCCCCTGAGTCACACTTTAAGGTCACGAGAATAAAGAAGTGATCAACTAAAGAACAACCTCGGACGAAACCTGTTGAGACACATTACAAAAAATAATACTTATTTTTTGCACTCACCCTGACAAAAATGCTTACTGTTGCAAATTCAGAGATTGTTTCCCCCCTCCCCTATTGCAATGTTGTTTGCAGTAACACAAGAAATGCATGCTTGAGCTGTTAAAAAGCCCCGACAACATTGTATCAGGGGTGGGGAGGGGGGCAAGTTTGTTCCTTTTGGAAACAATTGTTGCATGGAGGGAAATTAAAAGTTGCATTGAAATGTCTCAACAGTTTTGTCCGGGGTTGAAGCTCTTGACTGTTAAACACCGCCTCCCGGTTAGCTCAATGGATAGAGCGCTGGAGTATTGTGCGGGAGGTCGAGGGTTCAAGCCCCAGCCGGACCAACACTCAAGGTCTTAAAATAATTGAGAAGAATATGCTACCTTTCTATAACATCAAGTAATGGTTAGATATTCTAGTCTTCTCGGATAGGGATGAATAAATGGAGGTCCCATCTCCTGCAGAGTTAGGGGTAGGAGACATTAAATTCCCACGCACGAGATTACTGTGTGATGGATGTCCTCCCCTGGGGTGGGATTTATCGGGTGGACTACTCGCATGGTTTGCATATGTTCCGTTCTAGTCCTACCCTACTGTGGTAATGCAGTGAAAATGGTTAGAAAAAAAATTCTCCATGTCAGCACCTTAGGAAATTTATAGAGAACAGTATGGAGAATATGCATACTGATATTCGGGATTAAAGGGTAAAGTGGTTATTGTAAGTAGTCATTGTTGTGTGCAACTACTTGTGTCACAAGAAATAAAAAGACACAACTTTTACTTCCATTGTTATTTTGATCTCTTACAGCGAATTCATTTTGTGCCAGATCCGTGCACCCTTGTTGTCAACAATGTGACGATTGGCCTTTCATCCATGGATGTTTTATTGCACCTGGGTAGTGAAGAGACAGTTTGGTAATGAAATAGTCTAGAATCCTTGTACCAATATTTTCATGATGTGATATATCACCAAACAATATGTTGATATAATTTTTTAAATGCTTTCAAAATATTTCTCTCATCTACCTTCACTTATTTCTTACATTTTTGTTTGCCTCAGTCCACCAGGATCATCTGACAGACTTGGCCGTCTTGTGAGATACATTCTTCACCAGCACAGGTATGAAATATTATTTGACACTCATTAATTGAATAATATGGTAAGTGAAAAACAAACACGAGAAGAGAAAGTCTGTTATATATATATATAAATTAGGAGTAATATATGTTTTTAACACCAACTGATCACCAACAATCATCAAAATATTGTCCTTCCCTTTTTTGACATGATTAAAAAATTGTTAAAAAATGTTTTGTTTGTAGTTATTACCCCTTGCATCCACCAGCAGAGGATGTAAATCTGGACTATGAGCAGTTTGAGAAGCAAGCCATATTCCCTTACAATCCTGATATCTTGATCCTGCCATCAGATTTGCGATACTTTGCAAAGGTAAAATTTTTCCTAGCTGATCAGATGTCTAGCACATGTGCCTATGGAAATTCCTCTATCCTGTACTGATTGTTTGTCAGAAATGAATGGGAGTATAGGCAAGGGGGGAGAGGCAGGGAGGGGGGTAAACATTTAGATAGATGAACTCCAAATCCAGATGTGTGTGTCAGAGGCTTGGCCAGGTTACTTTGTTGTCTTCTTTGGCGAGACACCTTACTCTTTTAGTGCCCCTCCCTTCCTCCTACCCCCTCCCCACTCCCCCCTCCCCTTGTAAATGAGTATGAGCAAATTTTTGGGAAATGTGATAAAATGCAGGTGGGGGTGAAACTGGCACTAGCCTCCCATCCATGGAAGGTAGCAATAATCCAAGTCAGTTCTTCTCATGGAAACCAAGATAAACTGAGGTTAACCCTGCAAGGGAGGGGAGGATTAATGTTTTAGTGATGGTCAACCCACTCTTGGCTGTTGTCAGCTGATTTCTTGGTTGAGATGTCAACCACGATGTTATCCTTTTAGTTGAGTGAGGGTCAACCATCAACCAAACATTGGTCCACTATCATAAAACTGTTGACTGATCACTGACTGACATAACGATCAATCTAAATTTTACTCCACTTCACTATTAAACAATCAGTATGTTGAGGGTGGCTACCACTGGTACACATGATCCAGCAATAGTACTTACACACCTGGCTATGTAGAGCACCTGCTGATATTTCACTGTGTTTATCACTACAGGATATTCTTGGGTGTTTGTGTGTGAATCCAGGTCGACTTGCCAAGGGCCTTGTTGGTGGTACTTATGCCAAATTAAGGGTGAAACCTTCACAACATGTTGAAAAGGCAACATCTCACATATTGCAAAGTTCTGTGGCCCAAGTGATAAGAATATAACTCTTTGCATGGTGAAAAATGTGGGGATTTACAGCTATTCATACTCACAGTGCAGTGTGAGAGCATGTTGGTTTGCCTAAAGTACCTCTTTCCCAAGTAATACCTGTGCTTGAGACATTTGTAAACAACTTCAATATGGCATTGACGGTTCTCTTTGCCATCTGATACTCTCACTTGTGACTGGACTCAGATGAAAAAACAATTACTTCTTTCAGCATCGATGTCCCATTTTTGATAAGTTGTTGTCCAATTGTAAATAATTAAAAAAAAAAAAAACTAGACAGTGGTCAACAGGTATAAATGTGAGCGTCATCAGAGGGAAGAATATCACGTTTGACTTTTTTTTAATGGAAACTGTGGATCCCTTACTTCTACAACATGTGTAAAGAAAAATAAAATTCTGCAAACATACACTTGACTTTTAGTGTTTACTTTAGTCGCCTTAAATATTTGTCCAATCCACTTCTAGACCCCTTGGTGTAAAAGACAAAGGACACTTCACCAAATAACACCACCTCATGGACCTACTGTTTTCATTGTTTTCTTGTTCTCTATTATTTTACATCAACTGTGTCTTCTACACAAAGTAAGAGTCCATTTCTATCATACTACCCATTATTTAATACAATGCTGAACTTGGTGATTTTATTTGAAAGAAGTTATGATTTCATGTATTACTATTCCAGAAATAGTTTCACAAGAGTTGTATTCATTTTACTTTTTATACCTGTATTAACCAAATGGACTCTTGCAATAGCCCGGGAGAACAGTGATGTTATCAGATGTCTTACATAATGACATTAGTCAATGTGACGTCAAATAGAAGCATGAATAAAGGGAACAAATTTCTAAAAAAGGAGCTGTGGTGCCGTGTCTGCAGGGGTAACAAGGTGGCCACCATAAAGAGTTTAAAAGCTGTTTTGAGTGAATGATTCATCTGGGTGAATGACAAAGGACTAATTCACAGCTAAGAAAGTTTCTTCTTTCACTTTTACCACTCTTTCTATCCTTAATTCTCCTTGAAAGTGTTTTAAAGATGACATTTCATCAAGCGGATACCTACCAACAAATATTATATACTATACATGTATTTTCTAGCTACAAGGATTCTTTCATATTAAGATGGACAAGCAAGTGAGGCAGCCGTCAACTTTATGGAGTTCAGAATTTTCCAGTTCAATCTTTGGTCCAGTAATTTTATTAAAAGTCTCAATACTGTTTGGAATTTCAGCTGCAGACAGGTGCAACAGTGTACCATTGACAAACACGCAGTTAGCCGCAGTGTCCTCAGAAACACTCAGCTTTTCATAGCGAAACCTCGCTTTTTTCTCCATCTCGGACCAAGCATTCTTGGCCTCTTCACTTTCTCCGACAACAATCATATCATCGCCCGCCATAGTCATCATTGATTTCAGGTGAAGATGTTCGGTTACTGGAATGGTTGTAACTGGGTAACTTGGGAACGTTTCAGCCAAATAATTTACTCCCGCTAGATTCGTCCTAGTAGACAGGCCTACCAGAAATTCTTTACCGGTAAACAGTACATCTCCGCCATCTAAAGCAGCCGGTTCTTGCATTTCAACGACTTTCAACCCAAGTTGTTGCAGAGTTGTTTTCATTTTCGTTGCTTCGCCGCGGCGGGTTGTGTGACCTAAACGGGCAAGTAGGGCAACTTTGTCACACACAACAGCCACATCTTCGACAAAGACACAATCAGGGTATTTCTCGTCAGCGGGAAGCTCTATAACTTGTAATCCAAGATCTTTTAAGGCACGAACATACTCTTGGTGTTGTTGCACCGCTTTGTTGTAGTTCACGGCTTCTGAAGGATCACTCAGTCTTTGCGCAGCATCAGGAAGCGAGGAAGGAATTCCACAAACTATCGCTCCTACATATTGAAATTTTGAAGGTTTTGGCTTCATATTGAGCGGGTGAAAAACAACTTTCAAAATGTACTGTGAAAATCAGCTGGTTCAACTCCGGTCATTCATTCTGTAAAGGTGTCATGTAAGTTTCCTAAGACGTCCCGTACATTACATGCGTTTATCATTTGCATCGTGTATGGCCTACAATATGTCCCAGTTAACTTTTTTCTGCCACGTCTACTCGAAATTAACCAGTGAATAGCCCATTTCCGAGTCACTCTTGGCCTCATTTTCAAAACGAGTCCTGGTGCTCATCCTTTCATATGATAATGAGTTTTCATTCACATGCAAATTAAACTCGTATTCACAAGAATGGTTGAGCACCAGGCCTCGTTTTGAAATAGAGGCCAAGGATAATTTGGAAATGAGCTATTCTTTCAGGTCTTGTCAGTGGTAGAAAGTAGGGAGTGATGGGAAATGTTGGTAAGTACTTGGTGTCATCCTTAATGTGAGTTAGTGAATGCAAATGACCATGTATTCCCATAGGTTCTTCTGTATTGATGCATGTATGAAGGATTTCACCAAGTACCAACCAAACTGTTACAACTGTCTGCCATGTGGGGATCATTAAAAAGTTGTAAAAGATGTGAACCAAATATTCAACAAGTCAGAAGGAGGGGAGGGTGGTTCTCTCTGTGTCAACCTTGCTCCAAGGGTCCCTCATTCTATGGGGTGGAGTAGATGGGCCCTATGAAAAATGCTAAGAATGGAGCTTTCAATTAGGTACCTTTTTAAGGGGATGGGGGTTGGAAGTGGCATGTCTCCAACAGGGTGTCTTTCTGGACGAGAAGGACGTGAATGGATGCAGTTCCTGGTCCAAGTGTAACCACCCTGTTTTAATATAGTAGAAATGGCTCCATTCTGTCAGCAAGCCAGATATTTAGTTCCACAAGGCTGGGGAAATTGACAGATTTGGTCTTCAACACGGTCTGGGGTTCAATGCCTTCATGGCATGCCTCTCTTTAAGGGGGTGGGGTCTTAGTGCTGACTTTCTATATAATTTTTTTTTTAAGGATTTCTTTGGTTGCTTTCTTGTGGAACTTATGTAAAACAATCTTATACAAATTTATTTCAGAAAAATAAAAGCACATAGGCAAACATACAATGTATATGTTATCTAAAATGGCATGTAATTGCCTGCACAAGCCTGTTTGGTAATAATAATAAACATGTTAAAAGGTTTCAAGAAAATCTAATTCAATTTCTCAACTTAATAATAAGTTAATAAGTGATAAGTTTGTTTAATTTAACAACCAACAATTCACTGATCTGAGCCACTCCCTTCTACCACTTGCCAACTACATAGTGAATGCTTCCATAAAATAGTGACAAGTGCAAACAGTAATTTTCCAACTCATATCATCAGTATATCTTTACTGCATGCTGGTGATCACTCACACTCACATGGCTCACTCACAATGGCTCACTCACAATGGCTCACTCACGATGGCTCACTCACAATGGCTCACTCACAATGGCTCACTCGCGATAGCTCACTCACGATTGCTCACTCATGATGGCTCACTCACGATGGCTCACTCACAATGGCTCACTCACAATGGCTCACTCACGATGGCTCACTCACGATGGCTCACTCACGATGGCTCACTCACAATGGCTCACTCATGATGGCTCACTCCCAATAGCTCACTCACGATTGCTCACTCATGATGGCTCACTCACAATGGCTCACTCACAATGGCTCACTCAGGGTGGCTCACTCACGCATTGTTAATAGGCAGATGCCACAACTACTTTGGTAAGAAGTGGTGGCAAAGACCTGACAGTTTCAGTGCTAAAAACAAAAACTTTAAGGTGCATCAAGGGAAAGGGAAAGATTAAAACCCCTACCTTCACAGAGTCCCTTTATAACTAGAAGGCTGAGAAGCACTTGTCACAAACTATGGAATAAGGCACTGAGTAACTTGTGTACTAATAAACCCATTCTGGCCTACTAGTAAATTGGAAGAGAAATGCCTTTGACTTAACGCTTGCCCTTAAAATTTCTCAGTAGCCATTGAAGTTTCCTTTTCCAGCCTATCGTTCATTCTTTAGATGCTCTTTCAGCTCTGGCATTACCCTCCCAAACAATAGCCTCCTGAAGAAGTTTCTCAACAAAATATTTTCTAAAAGCATTCTACTCAACACTTCAAAATAATTTAACGATACACTACGCCAAGTTTACAGTGCATGTACAAGATAATACAAATTCCTGTAAAACTCTTAGTCAAAGTGATGTAATGATTTACAGACTGATTTACAAGTTAACTGCAACAAAATTCCTTTGCCATTGTACCAACTCATCAACAGCAGTCTCTTTTACTCTGAATTCTTTCAAAAAGAAGTTAAACCTTCCTTAGACTCAATATTTTCTGGTATTTTCATGAGTCATAGTCATCATCTTCATCTAATGAACTTCCCATTATGCCAGACATTTGGTTAAGCTTGGGAATATTCACTGGTAATGAAGATTCACTCCTGAAAAGAAAATATAAACAAGTTAGCTACTGCATTAGTGTTCTTTACTGCAGTACTAATAATTTGTTGTTTCATCCAGTTAAGCCAGCTCATGAGGCAGAGGGCTTATCCTGTAGCTGCTGATCCTAGTTTTAATAGCATGACAAAACTAAGTTTATTGGTATGCCTCTTACCTTATTCTCTGAAGTAATTTAAAAGAAAATTTATTACCAAACTGATGGGATAATCAAATAATCCAACCTAAGTGTTTAATGGTTTAGTGCAACATGAAAAGGGAACAACACCAAACTTGAAACTAAATAAGAAATGGATGGATTTGTTTTACCGTAACTCCACATGTACTAACACAGGTCAGAATGATAACTTTATATATAAAGAAATGACACCTACTCTTCAGTTTGTTCTGTACTTGGCCTTGTTATGGTTAATGATGGAACAGCTGGTGCTGGTATGATGTTATTGTGATTACTTGTTCCTTCAGAAGAAGAATCTTCTTCCTGGTTAAAATGATTAAATAATAAAGAAAACCTTGTAATTGTTTTTTTTTTTTTTCATGGGCAACTGAGTGCAATAACATTTTTCTTCACAGGGCCATTTAAAAATACTGATGACAAAAATGAACCAAATTAATTACAAAATCAATATCCCTAAAATCCATTTTCATAGTAATTAACCTCAGATTCAAGCTCTTCATCTGACTCATCAGATACTGTAGCAGCTTGTGGCTTCTTTTTTTCAGATTTTTTCTTTTCTTTGTTTTGTGCAGGAGGTTTTGGCATTCTTTTCCTAGAGCAAATGAAAATCAAAAATTTTACGAATTATTGACAAAAGAGCTTCCTACCCATCTTACACCACGTAACACCCGTGGTCTCACAGGTTCATGGCATCACACTGGCCTAAATATTTGTACTTCTTGTACCAGAAATTTTTGAGAAATTGACTCCCATTTAAATTATCACTTGTCATGAAACAACTTTTTTAAACATCAGCTCTAATTTGTGACAGGAAATTAGTCAAGTATTATTTATCACTTAACAAAGCTATTTTACCCTGTCAGTATTTGTAATCAGCGAAAAATCTAGCCCTACTGAGATGTTTGACAGTCAGAAATTGTATATTTTGTTATGATTTCCTCCCTTTAATTGGGAACTTGAGTAAGTCTAGTAATGTCTAGTCCCAGAGGTTACCACATTTCAACCAAAGAGAGTTGGGTTAATCAAGTATTATTCTGTTAGAAAACATCATCCACATGAACCTATACAAGTTGTAGATGAGACAGCTGCTTGCAGAAGGACGTGATCTTTTATTTGTCCCACCCTCGTGACAAGACCAAAAAACGTCTTTCTCTATTTCTTTACTGAGCTCAAAACCAAACTTACCATCTTTCTTATTCTATTTAAAAAAGCAGAATACTATCCACATTGTCAATCCTTGCAGTATGTAGGACTTGTGATGTAGATGAACTCCATAATGAGCCTTACTCACCATAGTCTCTGTGGCTCAATGAAAAAGCATTGAAGCACAGAATCCAAAGGTCTGAGGTTCGAATTCCTAATGGGGACTCAGAATTTCTTCTATGTCACAGGCTTGTGACAAGACAAAAAAACATCTTTCTCTATTTCTTTACCAAGCTCAAAAATTATCTTTCTTATTTCATTTACAAAACCAGAGCTCAACACTAATTTAGTTTTGGCTAGTGGTTTTCAATTTCCACTAGCCAGTTTGGTCAGCAAATAAGCTGAAATTATTGTAAAATCTAAGATGTCACTAGCCACTTGGCTAGTGACATCAAGCCCTGAAGACACGACCTTTGTTACCTTTTTGGTTTGGGTTCACCATCTTTCTCTTCTTCATTTGAGGGAAGATCCGGTACATTAGCCACTAAGTCTTTCAAAAAGTCAAACTGGTTTTCAGATGTTATACATCTCTTTCTGTTGATTAAAACCATAAAAGAATGATGAAAAGTCAGTAACAAAGTTGGACCAGCTTATAAACTATGAAGGTGAATTTAAAAAAAGTTTAAAAATAACCTTGATTTCTTGGCCATAAAAATGTAATAGAAAAAAACTTGGCCGTCCAATATCATTTTCACTTCCATGATCATAGAAAAATAAATTGTCCAAACTGTCTGCCTTACATTTTCATAATTTTGGCTGCAAGAATTTTATATCAAATCAAACAATATCCCCAAGTTAAAATTTTCCATCTTCTCCTCACCTCTCTACTTTAAAATGTAATAATATTGTTAGGAAAATTTCCATTTTGGTCACTGACAGTGAACAGGTTAAAACAGTCAAAGTTATTCTCCACAAGCGAAGGTGGATGAGAACACACATGTATTTGACTCACACACAAAACAAATTTTTTCAAGAAGATAAAATTATCATAATTGTAAAACTCAAGCTATAGGGATTGTCACTTCATCACAAAACAAAGAAGAAGATATTAATTAATTTTTTATGCACAATGACAATAATGACCACTGGAAAGGAATTAAGAGTGAAAATACATCTCTGTAATAAGGATAAAGCTTAGGCTGGAGATATTTATCTCTATAAATTTTTCAAAGATTAATACAATTTGCAACAGTGTACGTGGATTGACAATAATTGTCTTCAGGAACGTAAAACTGTGTGACCTATAAATGTCAGATTTA